GGAACCGGGGATTGAACTCAGGCCCTTGCGCTTGCCAGGGAAGCGCTTATTCCACTGAGCCATCTTCCTGGCCCCTGTTTTTTAATTTTATTTGAAACAAGATCTCAGTATGTCACTAAGTTCCAGGCTGGGCTGGAGCTTGGGACCTTCTTCTCCTAGCCTCTTGGTGCTGGGATCACAGGCCTGTGCCACCATACTAGGTTCCTGTTTCTGTACTCTGATGTCCAGTGCCTTGATGTTCAGTAGTATGCTTGTCCCTGAGGTGCCGCGCCTGGTCCCAGGCTGTCTTGCCCATTGAGCGTGCTCCCCATGAGTCGGAGCCCACAGCCTGCTGGGGCTGGCTCTGACCTTGGCTGAGGGTGGGCGTTGGTGCTTCCACACCACCTTAGTTTCAGGTTCACGCCTAGCAGCATGCAGAGTGGTATCTCCGCGGAGCGTGCACTGATCCTGTGACAGTTATGGTGCAGGGGGACGTGTGAGCATGAGCGAGAGCAGTATCTCCCCTGGAGGTCCATGTGCTTTAAATACACAGGGGTTGTCGTTTATCACCAAAATCCGGGGTAGTGAGGAATGGGGCATTGGCCTTGAGGTGGCTCTGGCCCATGGGTGTGTCCAGTGGCTAGTATCTTGCTTTTTCTTTTGTGATTCTGGGGATTGAACCCAGGGGTCTTCCACCACCAAGCTATGTCCCTAGCTCTGTTTTTCTTTTCTTTTTTAAGGAAGGGTCTTGCTAAATTGCTCAGGCTGAGCTCAGAGTGTGATTTTCCTGCTGAGTAGCTGGGATGATTGGCGTGTAGTACCACACCCGGTTACTATGCCCATACGCGCGCATACACACACATGCACACACGACGGAAAACCAGCCCCGCTGTGCTGACACTGCCGCATTTAAGGACTTGGGACCCATGTGTTGCTCATGTGAGGCTCTGGGCTTGAGCCCCAGGGCCCAAAATATTGAGTGCTTAGAATTGAGGCCACTGAGGGGCAGTTTCAGGGAGGCTGTCTGTTAGGCTGGTACTGGGCACCGCCTGGGGGTGCACAATGGCTAGTGGCTGTCCCTGGTACCACTTGCGCCCCTGGAGCTGCAGCTGCTCTCTGGTCTCTTATGGTAGCAATGTTCCTTGCTGCCAACAAGGCTGTGGTTGCAGGCATGCAGGTCATGGTGCCCTGCATGTGTTCATTCATTGACCACTCCTAAGGCTCAGGCTGTGACAGTTACTGGTGGTCTTAGTTAAGTAGCCCACGCCAGGCCTCTCAGAGGATGAGGCCACCAAGGCTCAGGGAATACAAGGGCTCCCCAGAGCCCCCCAGTGGGTCCAGGTCACTATAGCTTGGCCCCTGCCACTGACCCAACACCTGAATCTTGCAGGACAAAGCAAGAGAAGACTTTGATCAGGCCATTGGCTGCTGTGTCTCCCTCATCACTGACTACCGGGTGCGGCTAGGTACGTGGGGACCCTGGAGGGCAGGGCTAAGGGGTGGTGGCACGGGGCCCCACACCTCAGGGCCATAAGCCCCAGGGCTGGCCCTGGCATCTGAACACCTCTCTCCACCCTCTTGCTCTCTCCCGGCTTTGCAGGCTGTGGCTCTTTTGCTGGCTCCTTCCTGGAATATTTTGCTGCTGATATCAGTAAGTCTGTGTTGAGCCTCTGATGGCGGCACCTGTTTCTTTGCCCTTGAAAGGCCATGGGTCTTTTGGGTCTACAGCTATGGGATGACTTTGTGAGGTGGGTGTCATCCACCTTCCAGCAGAACTGAGTGACCCCAAGTGCCCAACTCCAGACACAGTGAGCTGCTCTTGGCTGTCCAGGACCTGTCTCCTACCGGACACCCCCTGAGCCTGTGGACCCTTCCACGCATCCAGAAGCCTGGTTCCACATTGATCCTGTTGTGGGTGGCTGGAGGAGTCAGGTGGTCTAGGAATGTTGCCTGAACAGGAGAATGTCTGACCAGTGCTTTCATAGCCATTCTGTTGTTTTTAGGTTCTTTTGAGGTAGAGTCTTGTTAAGTGATTTTTTTTTTTTTTTAAGTTAACACACATCTTTAATCCATATCCACAAGTGATTTCTTTGATTAGGTTAAATATGACTGAAGGGCATCTCAGAGACAGATGAGGGATCCTGTCAGTGGATTCTGTCAGACGATCTTGGGTGGTGTTGGCGTTGGAGATAGGGTCTTTAATGTGTCATCCTCGCTAGCTTTGGATTCACTCTGTAGCCCAGGCTGGCCTTGAACTCTTAATCCTCCTACCTTAGTCTCCTGAGGAGCCGGGATCACAGGTGTGTGCCAGTGACATAGGAAGTCTTCAGGAAGCTGACAGTGGTCTGGCAGCTTCTGTGGCCCTGACACCCCATCCCTGTCCCATGCTGTGGTTCTGCTGGCTCTTACATGGCTTCTTTCTTATTATGAGGTCAACTAATACTGGGCATGGAGGGAAAGTGGCCAAGACCCCACGCCAAGCTCTTGCCCTGCAGGTTACCCTGTTCGGAAATCCATCCAGCAGAATGCTGAGGGTACCAGGTTCCCCCAGCTGAGCAGAGGGGACCCTGAGGAGCCTGAGGGCAGCAGCCCCCTGGAGTGGAGGCTGCCTTGCAGAAAGGTGCTGCCTGACCGCTCTCGGGCCGCCCGGGACCGCGCCAACCAGAGGCTGGTGGAGTACATTGTGAAGGCTCGAGGTGCTGAGAGTCACCTCCATGCCATCCTGAAGCATGGCAAGCCGTCTCGGTGGCTGAAGATGTTCCTGAGCTCTGGCCAGTACGTGATGTGCTTGGAGACCTACCTGGAGGATGAGGAACAGCTGGACCGCGTGGTGAAGTACCTGCAGGGTGTCTACCAGGACGTGGACGGTGACGAACTTGTGCAGGCCAGTGGCGACCGCATCCGCTTCATCCTAGATGTGCTGCTGCCAGAGGTGAGCAGTGGGGCAGGCGGGTGGGGTTCCCTGAGCCTGCTGTTCACTGTTCGGCCCCCTGAAACCTGCCTGCCTGCCCCTCATCGCTCTGCCACATTGTGGGTTAGAGGTTGGGCCCATGTGTCTCAGCCTCACCATCAACTCGGGTCGAGTGTGTACCAATCTCTGCCCTCTCCCCGTGTACACAGAGGTAGTGGCTGCTTCGAAGTCACTCAGGAAGGAGGGTTCCTGCTGGGCACAGCGGCACATGCATGTGATTGCAACTGCTTGGAGGCTAAGGGGGGGAAGAGTATAAGTCTGAGCCCAGCCCGGGCCACTTAGCGAAACCCTGACTTAAAATAGAAAATGTAGGGGCCGGGGAGATGGCTCAGTGGAGTAAGCACTTCCCTGGCAAGCACAAGAGTCTGAGTTCAATCCCCAGTTCTGCAAAAAAAAAAATAATAATAATAATAATAATAATAATAATAATAATTAAATAAAAAAATAATGTAAAAAGGGCTAGAGATGAGCCTCAGTGGTAGAAGGGTTTGGTCCCCAACATCACCATAAAAAAAGTACCCTATTGATTAGGCACTGTTCTGCCTGTGACCTCAATTGAGGCTGTGACCTTGGGCCAGGCTCAGTGCTGTCACAGTCATTGAACCTTAGAGTTGACAGAAATCTTAACATAGATGCAAAAATAAAATAGCATAGTCGTCTCTGTGCCCATTGCCTCTGCAATATTTTGGGGGAGAAACAAAACCTCCCACTCTTTGTACCTTAAAGAATCCTCTAAAACTGGACATGGGTAGTGTTTGGGGATACTTACGGCTGTCAGGACTCAAGGAGCTCCTGGCCTGGAAAAATGGAAGCTGGGGACGCTGCCTGACACCTTACAATGCCCAGGACGCCCACCCCAGAAAACGACCTGGTCCCAGCGCCCTCAGTGCCAGGCTTGGGCGGGCACGTGCTGTATACCAGGTTTTTTTTGAGTCAGCGTCTTGTTAGGTAGCCACGGCTGGGTCTGAATTTGCAGTCCTCTTGCCTCAGCCTCTCTTGTTATTCTGGAGATTATAAACGCATGCCAGTTTTCTTTCTTTCTTTTTTTTTGTTTGAGATACTGGGGATTGAACTTGGGACCCTGTGCTTGCCCGGCAAGCACTTATTCTACTGAGCTATCTCCCTGGCCCAGTGTATTCTTTCAAGAACTGTATTTAGCATAACTAAAATACTGCTGTATCACCTATGATAATTAATAATCATTCGTCAATATCGCATTTATTGTATGTGAAAATAATTTTTTGCCGTAGTGGGGATCAAACCTACAAAATGCTGACCCCTGGGCCGGGGAGATAGCTCAGTAGAATAAGTGCTTCCCTGGCAAACGCAAAGGTCTGAGTTCAATCCCTGGTTCCGCCAAAAAAAAAAAAAAAAAAAAAAGGCTGACACCCACCCCAGCCTCTTTTATTTATTGTATTGTATTTTTTGTTTGTTTGTTATTTTTGTATTTTAGGGAAGGGTCTACAGGGTGTTCAGGGTCTCACAACTAGATCAGATTCGTAGTGATCTGCCTGTTTATAGCCTCCCAAGAGCTGGGATTACAGGCATGCGCCACCACGTCCAGTCTCTATTTCATTTTTGAGGGTACCAGGAATCTTAACTCAGGACCTTACACTTTCCAGACAGACACTGTGCCACTGAGCCAAAGCGCTGGCCCTGCTTTTTTATTTAGAATACAGGGTCCTGCTAAGTCCCCTGGGCTGGGCTGAACTTTGAGATCATCCTGTCCCAACTTCCTAGAATGCTTTGGTTACGGGGGTACACTGCAGTGCCTAGCTGTCCCTCATTGTCTTTGTAGGGGCTTGTTTATATATGAGTATGTAGTTTGCTGTGGTTTGTTTTTAATGGTAAACTCAAATTTTCAAAAATGCCCTTGTGTGTTTGAACTGTGCCTTTTACTTCCTGCCATTAATGACAGGAATGCTCATCTCCAGCGAAGGAGCTCCTGATTTCATTAGAGGCAGCTGCGCCCGGGACCTCAGTGTGCATGACTTAGAGCGTGTGTGCAACAGCCTGGGCTGTTCAGCTTGTACCCGCCGCCCCAGTCCAGCGTTCTGTGTCCTCTTACAGGCCATCATCTGTGCCATCTCTGCCGTGGACTCCGTGGACTACAAGACAGCTGAGGAGAAGTATATAAGAGGACCATCGCTTGGCTACCGGTAGGCTGAGATGACGTTCCCTTTATCTTAGCAGGGATTGGCAGGCATTGGCCGGGGACCCTGAGCTGGCCCGTGGCAGGCAAGCTGGACCCAAGCCAGACCCCGCCACAGCTTCCCTGGGAGCAGACTGCCCCGGCCCCATGTCCCCCAGGCCCGGCAACCTGGTCGCGTGCTTGGCTGCATCCCTGACTGTATCTCCCTAATCTCCTGCGCGTGCGGGGTGGGCATGTTTTGGGTTTTTTTCCCTGCTGCGCCAGCCTCGTGGCTGGAGGAGAAAAGAGTGAAATTAAGAAGCAGCTTTTACACTGGACCGGAGAAGCAAAGGCCGTGATCAAGATGTCTCTGCGTGTTGAGCCGCCCGGATCTCTGGCCCCCAGCCCCTAATCCGCCTCTGGGCACACTGCCAGGCCTTGGTGGGAGCCAGCGGGGCCGCGGGGCAGTAACAGGCACCAGACAGATCAGGAGTCACAGGGCAGGATCTTCAACCAGGGCCCAACCAGCCTGGCTGCATGCCCGGCCCCTCTGCCTGCGAGCACATTGTTCCAATGGGCTGATGTGAGCGTGGTGGTGCCCTTAGGAACCTGGTGTCCTCTCTGGCAGACCCCTTGGGTTTGTAGTATCTCAAGGTCGCTGTAAAATTCTCTTAAGAGATTAAATTTGGCTTCATTTACTGGAGTTTTTTTTTTTTTTTTTATGGTTTTTTATTTTTTTTTTAATTTTAAGGGATTCTCATTTTTTTTAAACATTTATTGTGTGTGTGTGTGTGTGTGTGTGTGTGTGGCCAGCTCAGCCCACCAGGGGGCGGGGCTGGCTGGCATGTGGTGCTGGGGGATTGAACCACAGTCCCTGTGCTTTGTTTAGCTTAGCTTGTTCCAAGTAGGTGCTTTAGACCACTGAGCCATCTCACCAGCCCCCATTTACTGGAGTTTTAACCCAGCTGATTTTTTTTTTTTTTTTAATGTATTTGGTATAGGGTCTCACTATGCAGCTTGGACTCGTAGTGATCCTGCTGTCTCAGCCTCCCCAGCACTGGGATTACAGGTGTGCACCACCATGCCAGGTCTCGGTGGCCTGGGAACAGGGCCAGTGTGGCATGTGGTGCCAGGGATTGAACCTCAGCCCCTGCGCTTGCCCAAGTAGGCACTTAGTCCACTGAGCTACTTGCCAACCCCCCCAGCTGAATGAATAGAACTAGAAGGGCCACTGGTCAAGGTGGCACATGCCTGTGAGTCCAGCTTTCCTGGAGGCTGAGGCAGGAATATTCCAAGCTCAAGTCCAGCCTGGGTGTCTTACAATGTAATGAAGTTCTGTCTCACAGCAAAAAGGAGCTGAGGGTGTGGCTCAGTATGAAGGCCCTGGGTTCAGTCCCCAGAACAGTGCCCAGCCTCCCAGCTGGAAGGACCTTTGGAGCCGCCTGACATTTTAATCAGGGCTTCTTAGCTGCGTGTGCTGATGTGACCCACTTGACATGTGAGTGGATGTGATGACCATGCAAGGGTGCTGCGTGATCCCAGGACCCTCGGCTCTCCTGGCGTCCTCTGGATGGCCATCCATGCTGCCGGGGGAAGGCATGCTGGGGATGTCGGCGCCTCCGTGCGGCGTAATGAGGCTGAGCGCTCGTGCGGATGTAGCTCTGGTGCACCCAGTCAGCACATGGGAGCTCCCTGCCTGCCTGGCCGCAGCATCCATCCACTGTGACGCTCGCATGTTCTTTTCTGTGTTGCGCTTCCCTGGTGTCCCTTCTGACTCATGATTATATCACAGGAGGTTTTCTTGAAAAATGGCTCTCCAATCCAAAGTATCCAGATTCTTCTTGCTTCAAACAAAGAAGTGCACGAGACAGTAACAATACCAAGAATTTTATTTGCAAAGTATGGGGTAAACGAGTATGGGAAAAACCATTGGTGCGAAGTGAATTTGGGCCAAGCAAAGAGAAAGAAAGGGTAAAAGCAAAAATGGGGGTAGCAGGCGGCCAGATAGCTCAGCAGACTAAAGCACCTGCTTAGGCAGACGCTGAGGCAGATGCAGCAGCTGGGTTTCAATCCCTGGCCTGCCGTGCCGGCCCGGCCCCTGGGGGCGCTGAGACAGTGACTGAGACTGGGAGTCAACTGGGCGTCAGCTGGGCATGGGGCATGGTGGTGTGCGCCTGTAATCCCAGCATTTGGGAGGCTGAAAACAGAATCACTATGAGTGCCATCTGTGTAGTGAGACCCTGTGGACCCTGCAGACCCTGTACTAAGTACAGAAGGCATCAGGGTCAGCCTCACAGCCCTGGCGCTTCCTGTAATGGTGGCTCTTTCCTTGCCGACCACGTAGCATGGGAGTGTGCAAGCTCTCCAAACGGGGACCTTGCGTTGCCTGAGGTCTGGTCATCCACAAATCCCACTCCCTTCCTCCCGCCAGCGTCACCACACCGCATTTCCTGTGTCAGCTGGGTTGCGGGGACTTCCTTGAGCCTCTTGTTGGAGGGGCTGACCCGTCTGCGTGTTTTCCAGGGCAGCCTCTGCCACCTCCTCTCTCAGCCACACTCTTGCCGCAAAGTCCAGTTTGCAAACCAGCCTGTCTCATTCTCCCCGTCCCGAGGTCACCTGCCTCCTGGAGGGGCTGCTGCTAAGTGACTGTCGCTTGATGAGGACACTCCTGGATACAGGGGTCACTTAATAAACTGAAGCTTGGGGCTGGGCCAGGCCTGGCCTCTCCTCACAGCTGTGTGGTTGGAAGGCCAGGGTGAGTGGAGCTTGAGTCCAAGCCAGCATGAGAGGAGACTGTGGAGGGGAAAATGATTTATTTATCTTTTTTTTTTTTTTTTTTGGTACTGAACTCAGGACCTTACGTTTGCCAGGCAGGCACTTGTGCCACTGAGCTATATCCCTGGCCCCCGATTAATATTTCATCTACTTTAAGAAATACTGCTTTAATATTTAGCTGGGATGAAAAAATTGCTGGGATCATGCTGTACCTTAGTGGTGGAATGCTTGCCTAGCATGCATGAGGACGAGTCTGTCCCCAACACCACACACACACACACAAAGAAAAAACAATAAATGTAACCTGACACATACCTTCTTAAATTAATTTTTTTTAGGTCTGGTCTTGCTGTGTAGCCCAGGATAGCTTCAGACTCACTGCATAACCCAGGCTGGCTCTAAACTTTCAATCGTCCTGCCTCATTTCCCACTCGCTCGGGTTACAGATGTGTACTACTGTGTGCTGACTCAGGGTCCTCCCCTCCCTCCCTCCCTTTTTGACACGGTCTCACTATGTAGCCCATGCTGGCCTTAACGTTTTTTTGATCCAAGTGCTGGGATTACAGGTATGTTGCACCACACCCAGCTCTCATCCTCTTTTCAAGCTCTGAGATTAATCACTCATGTAATTATCAACTTCTGTTTTTTGCAGGGAAAAACAAATATTTGATAACCAGGTCCTGGAAGAAAGGAGTCGGCGCCACCAGTGATGTGCCCCCAGCTGTAGCACGAGCCAGGGCACAGGGAGCCCAGGATCTGGCAGGTGCCCGTGGCGCCTGCCCTTGCTTTCACAAAAGTCTGAAGAGTCCATGTCATGACCAGCAAAAGCTGGTCTCTGTATTGATGTTTTGCCGGAATATACATTTCCTGAGATTTCAATCCATTGATTGCACATTGTCCATCGTGACCGTATAGTTTGATATGAATTGCACTTGTATTGTGTGTCACACATCACATGTAGTATTAAATGGGAGTTTTTAGACAGTACCTGCCATGGCTTCGTGGCCGTGGGGCATCCATGTGTCGTGGGCTTGTTCTGTCCTGGTCCCCCTTGTGTGGTCCCCTGGCCTACTTCTGGAGTCTACTGTCCCACTCCTGCTGTCTCTGTGACTTGCAGCACAAAGGCCAGTGCTATTGGGAGTTGTGTGCACAGGAGGGCAAGATGCCAAAGTCACCTTGAGCCCCATGTCCCTTGGCTGTGCTGTCACTGCACGGTCAGCTGCTGAGGTCTTTATTACCTGGACAGCTACCTTGGGACCCCAGTATGACCTCCATCCCGCTCCGTGTCACTGTAGGGGCTGTGGACCAGGTGGTAGCTCTTCGGAAAAGCTTGCTGGTCCTAGGCCAGGGCTCTGCAGCTGTGAGGCTGTAGTGTGGGGACAAGGGCCAGTTGTGCTCAGAGCAGCCACATGGCCTGGCCCAGAGATTGTGTAACAGCCACAGCACTGAATTATTCTGGCTGACACCTGAGGCTCTAGGTGAGGTCAGTGTCACCAAGGGAGTTTTCATATTGGGACAGGTGAACCCTTTAGGCTACCAGCCCCTGCTAGGGGTACTTACTATTTGTCCCTCTGTCGAGTTGCATGGGTCTCTTTTCTGGAGGCCTGCATATGTGAGGGCAGGACCTCTTCTCCCATGTCCCCCTCACCCTGTACCAGAGGTGTAGAGTGAGCAGCACTGGAGGTGGCAGCATGGTCACTGTCACTGTTAGTATGACATGCCCAGGCCACCCCTTCTGGGTCGATTTGGGGACATGATGGCTGTGCCCTGTTTCGGGACCTGAGAATGTGCCATCGGCCAGTTTCATTGAAGTTGGTTTCGCTGGGATCTCCAAGGAGACGGAAGAAATTGAGATGCAAAACTGGCCCAGTGGAGCAACTCTTTCCTCTAGCCACCTGCAGAGTCCTCTCCCAGGCAGGGGCCTGGCAAAGAATTGCCCTGGTCACCTCCCTGCATCTTTGCCTAGGAGGAGATGCCTTCCTCTCTTGCTCTCCTTCCTGAGAAAGCTCACCCTGTCCACAAGGACCTGGACCCAGGGCCTCGTGTCTCCCCCGTTGGTAGCCAGTGGCCCATAGAAACACCTGCCATGTCCTGGCTGGCACAGTCCTTGAAAACCTGTGAGCGGTTGCCGCTCACAAAGCCTGTCTGCCTGCCCATCTTTTTCAGCACTAAGGATTGTCTCCAGGGCATTTCACTTTGAGCTGTATCCCCAGGTCTTTATTCTTCAAGACAGTTTTGAGCCAGGGATATAGTTCAGTGGCGCAAGCACCGCCTGGCAAGTGTAAGGTCCTGAGTTCCATTTCCTGTACAAAAAAAAAGACCTGGCTATGCTACCACACTGGGCTCAGATTCCTCCTGCCTCAGCCTCCCAGAATGCTAAATTTACATGTGTACACCCAGCTATACCTGAAGCATTTCTATACCCCCATCGCTAGGCCTTGCTTCACTGACCTGAGGATCGGGTCGTCCAGCCTTTGCAATTGGAATTAAATGGCATTTAGAAGACATTTTCTGAGCAAAACTCGTTTTGTTTTCTTGGGGAGAGGTGTGGTGTGTGCTTTTTGGACAATAGGGGCTGAGCATGGAGACCAGGCTTGCTGTGCCTGGATCCTGTGTGGGTCGGGAGACAGGCAGGTCTGCCTGGATAGGTGTGGGCTGAATGCTACTGAGAATGCCCATCTGTCAGGGAACCCGGGTCCAGGTGGGAACAGCTGGGAGGCTGGAGAGCACTTCCCCCTCTCCCCATCTTCCGTGGAGCAGGCCCACTTAAACAGGGCATTTTCTTCAGTATTTGGGGGGCATTTAGACCCCAGATTACCCTTTGGCTACAAGGCCCCCAGTCAGGAAAGTTCTAGAAACTTGTCCTGTGGACCAGCTGAGGCCTCCCACGGGTGACCTTTGTGATTGGCTGCTTCCAGGGCACCGAGGAAAAGCATCAGTGTCCACACCAGGTGTAGAGTGGTGCCTCCTCCCCCCATACACCTCCTTCCTACGTGGGGGGTGTTGACCCCATGCCTGCTGGGGGTGCCACTTTCTCCACGGGCCCTTTTCCAGAAAGGCTTGTGTCCCCTGCCCAGTGCTGTGCACACTGGAGTCAGGCTGCTCTCTGTGGGGCATTCCGGGTACTGCAAGTGCTGAGCCATGTCCCTGGCCTCTGCCTGTTCTAAGCCAGGAGCTCCCCGACAGTGATGGCTGCCACCTGGGCACCCTGTGGTGCAGCTGTCTACAAGCCACTGTCTCTTCCTCTGGAGTGGAGATGGCTGGTATTTCCCAGTGCCTGTCCTAGCCCTGGTGCAAGTCCCTGTCTTCCCTGTCACCCCTTCAGGAAACCTGGGAGCCTGCCCCCTCGTGTCCCTGGAGACCCCCTTCCCAAAGGCAGGGTTACTTGCTCCAGAAGTGGAAGAGGAGCAATTGGATTTTCCAGAATCAAGTGTCTTCGATTTCAAGCAGCACCAGGAGCAGGAGAGAACACAGCCTTCATGTCAGGGACACCTTTGATGTCCAATGGTGCCACCCTCAGGAGCCACCTCTGCTTGGGAGCCTCTGGCTCCTGTGTCCTCCCCTACCCTCCTCTTCCCCCCTCCCCCTCCTCCCCTTTCCTGCCCCTTCCTGCTTGCATTCCCACTTTCCTATTTCCCCTTGAAACCTGCACCTCCCTCTAGCCACTGTCATCAGGGACTCACACCTTGCCCTGTCCCCCATCTCCGTGGGCCGTGCTTCCAGTATGCTTGCCCCCCCTGAGCCAAGTGACCTCCAAACTGTGCTGTTGGAAACTTGGTGCTTCATGGTTCCTATAGCTCGGGTCCCAGGAATGGAGCTTGGGTCATCTCGGGAGGCTGGGCAGATGTGAGCTGGGGTGTTGGAGGCCTCTGTTTGTTCACATCCTGATATCCAGCCTGCATTGGCTCCTCTCAGAATAAGCAGTGTCCCCGGCCTTGGCAGCCATACAGCTTCCCTGGAAGGTGATACTTCTCCACAGGCGGCAGTTCACCTTGCCCAGTGGGCCCTGGGTGGATTGCTCTCCCCTGCTGTGCTCCTGGCAGCCTCTCAGGAGAGCCCAGGAGATAGATGTCATGGGAGGTTGTGGTGGGGGTCCCAGCGCACAGTCTGTCCTATCATTCAATAGTATTCCTGAGCCAGGCATAATCATGCCGGCTGAGAGACTGAGGCAGGAGAATCTCTGTGTTGGGCTCAGCCTGTGCAACTTCAATTTGGGGAAATCATGTCTCAAAAAAATTGTAAAAAGGGCTGGGGATATACCTCAATGCAAAAGTTGAAAGCCAGAACCAAAAAAGAAGAACTCGCAACTATTTTTGCAAACTCTTAATTGAGCCGTTAGTGTTACATTTGACAATCAATACTGGCTCTGGACTTACCAATTTAAAAAATATAAAATCTACTCCCAGCACTACAACAATTTTTTAAAGAAAAGTTTGCTGAGTTCAATCGCCAGTACCGCAAAATAAATAAATTAAATTAAATAAATTGGAAATATTGTATGAAGAAAGAAGGGAAAGGATATTTGAAATCGTAAAGGTTTAAACGGGATAAACTCAAATGTCTAACTTAACAGGAAACAATGTTCAAAGAAATGTAGGAAGCCAAAACTCCTGCCGAAACCCGGGATCGAACCAGGGACCTTTA